AATACTATAATACCCTGATATACCATAATACTATAATACCCTGATATACCATAATACTGTAATACCCTGATATACCATAATACTATAATACCCTGGAACTGCTGAGGAACACAGCGTTACATACACAGATCTTTCCTTTGACGAAGGTGGTGACGTCTTCATCGTTGTCAAATATAGAGATGGTCTGCAGCAGGTTGGACTCCAGCCAATCCCAGTGCTCCGTGATTTCCTTCCTGGATGAGCCTGCAAGACACAGCTCAGGGTTAACATGAGGTTGGGTGATAGTGCTGAAAAGATTATCTTGACTGAGTTTTCATTTCAGTTGACAGTGAATCAGGCTATTAAAGAAGTCTACAATGGGACAAGTCGCTAACGCTTTGTCAAGCCAATCCCAGTGCTTCCAGTCCAGCCCACTCACCACAGGCAATGTTCCAGTAGATCTGAGAGTCGGCAGTCTGCAGCAGGATCCTGTACGGAGCCACTCTGGCACTGGAGTCCAGAACCACATCCAGAGTCCCAACCAGGAGACCTGCAGAGAGACAAGTGAACCAGGTAAACCGGGAGAGCTGCTGACGTTTCAGGTGTTTGGCTTCACATCAGAACCTCCTGAAGATCGTTTGGACCACATGTGTTCATTCTGGACTGACACCAGGTTTTTCCTGCTGAGCTGTTAGTTAACAGCTGTTACACACTGATGGGCAGCATCTACTCCTGTCCCTGTTTTCACAGAGATCCTGGAGAACCTCGTGTCATTATGGATTCATCTTGGTTACAGATCAATCATCAATTCTAAAATGATCAGAAAAGAGATCAGTGACTTCAGACCTCCTAAATGTTGTGTGTAGACCTACCAACAGGAGCATAAAACAGGAGCGTCACACCTGAGAATATGAAAATATCAAATGACTTTTTATGAAAACCTTAAAAGTTTATCATTTATCAAAATAGTTGGTGACTGATTTTCTTTCCATATTGACAAACTGCTGCAGCTCTAAACCCAGCTGATGTCATATCCGACCTCAGAGTGTCGTCTGAACTGATTGGTTGTCACTACTTAGATTAGTTATAAATCAGTATAAGTGGCTCTGGCCTTCCTGGAGAACTTTCCTCAAGTTGACGAGCTGAGTTGCAGAGTTAAATCAGACCTGCCGACAGAGCAGACAGCTTCATTTACAAAATACAATAAAATATTTTCATTTTAACTAATTAAATGAAACACGTACAGTTACTTTGAAAATGTATTTTGTATTCTAAGTCCTATGTGGATGAATGAAAGAACTAATTTACGCAGAGTGATGTGAAGTTGAAGCCGTTAGTGTCTCTGTGAAAAGTTAAAGAGGCTGTTAAATCAGACAGATACAGCTGAGAGGGTTTATATTTTTCCCTCGCTAACCACAGCTCCCATAATGCCTTAAGGTGTAAAGAGAAACTAGATCTTCCCAGTGTGTTAGCAGCAATACAACTGGAGCCCTGGGGTCTGCAACTAATGACTATTTCCGTTCATCTGTGGATTATTTTCTGGATGAATCGATCAGCTGCTTGGTCTCTAAAATGTGTTTTGACGTTTCTTCAAATGTCTTGTTTTCTCAAAAGGTATTCAGTTTACTGTTGTATGGGAAGAAAGAAACCAAATAATTTGAATATTTAAGAAGCAAGATTTACAATGAAGTTCTGAACTGTCTTCCTCTGTGGTTCCTGGAGGTTTATTGTGATGGATATCTGAGTCTGAACTGTTTCAGGTGTGAGTTCACACTTGACTGAGGTTGCACTCTGAGAGGAGCGACAGGTGTGAACGCATCTGTCCCCGACTCCCACCTGAACACACCTGTTTCTGACCCACTGTGTCCTTGAGCCCTCTTGTCTCCTACAGTGGAAACAGCAGAGGATCCACAGTGTTGCCCTGTGGGACTCCACACACACTGTAGATATCAGCAGGTCAAAAGCTGTGTGTGTTTCCTCTTAACTACACATGCAGACACACACCACTGCTTCCTGTCAGCTGACTGCTGTGACTTCATGTCTCTGGTGAATCATGTGGTTCAGTTTTCTAACTGTACAACTTTCCCAGTAAAGTTCAGGTTTACGCAGCAGAGGAAAGGTGCAGATGGCAGATCAGGTCCAGACTGAAGCAGACACTGTGCGCTGAAATCTAATAAACAAAACAATGAAGTGTGCGATGTGTTCAGGGTTCAGTCAGCAGAGTGTGAAACTCAGCTTCAGCAATCTGAGGACAGACACGATGTAGGACTGTCCAACAAATACTTGAATCCTGAAAACTGCGAGTCACCGTTATTTATACAGAACATTTAAAGCAACAGCTGCTGCGTTTAAAGTGGAAAAATAAGTTTATAAATGAAAGTAGCAGGTTTAACAGTGGGTTGGTTTGTATGCATGAAAACAGACTTCAGGCAATATTCTGCTGCTGACTTTGAGATGTATATAAGAGATAAGACAGAACTATACTAATCCGGATGGGAATATTGTAAAGCACATGTTCCATGTGAGGAGGAGAAGACAATACGAACTGGACATTCAGATCAGAGTTTGAGAATTCCATATCTGCAGATAACTGAAACATAAATTCACTGACGAGCGATGACGCTTTAGTTTTCTTCTGTTGCTTGTAGTGCAGCATCGTTGTCCTGTTTCACTTGTGTCGTTGACATGATGTGTTTCAATAAACACAAGATTTACTGTGATGTATGTTGACTTATCATCAGTTTCTTTGTTCAGTGTTCATTTCCAGTGGCTGTACGGGAACATTAAGGCAAAATAAGCCTCATACGTTGTTAAATTTTCATATGAAGACAACATGGAAGCAGCTTTTAACTTGTGCACATACAGTGACGATATTCCAACCTGTACGCACACCAGTTGTTGTGCTCCTACAAATTAGTCCACATCAACATTTTGTCAAAATGCTTGTCGAAACTGGGGGACTGTTGATAAAGGGTCGTATTCTTAGAGTGAAATATGGACACATCCATTTATATATACACTTACAGGAACTTTCTGGGGCCACAATACCACCCTCATTTGAAAATATTGTGTTTTTTTTTCCATTATTAAAGGTTCAATAATTAAAAATCGATCCTTTTTTTGGAGCCTTTCAACAACTTGGACTCACTGTCAATTACTCTGTCTGTGTCCAATTTCATGGCTGTGGAAATTATATTTGTGGAAATACTGAAGCCTTAAAATGGCTTCCTGGACTTTTTTTTTCAAGGGTGAAAGTGGTCCAGTTTTAAATTCTATTTCCCTGTGAATTTAAGTGAGTGTAGAGGAGCGACTCCCCTGGACCGGAGGCGGGCTCAGGGAGGGTGAGGATGGGCAGGACTGATCTCCAGTCAGTCACTTGTTCGATTAATCAGGGCAGATCCAGTTCAACACACGGAACCTTCAGCATGAACTCACCGGAGAGCCCCCCTCCGCGGCCGTGGCCCCGTCTCCGTTGCAGGATGAAGAAGGGATTGGCCCGCTCGGACACCCACAGAGCTCCGGCCAGCAGCACCTCCTCCGGCTGGATCCACATCTCTGCCCGCTGCTGCTCGCCCTCCGCCGGGGAAACACCGGAGGGGAGGCCGGTGTGTCAGCGGGATGAAGCAGGAGAAGCCTCCGGTGCTTCAGCGGGATGAAGCAGGTAAGGTCTCCGGTGTTTTAGCGGGACGCAGCAGGTAAAACCGCCCGTGTTTCAGCGGGATGAAGCAGGTTAAGGCTCCTGTGATGTTGTTGTTTTCACGGAGTCCGATGACTCCACATCACTTCCTGGTGTGACGAGCCACGTGACGCCCCGTTTGCGCTCTGCGTGATGACGTAACGCGCATTCGGGCCAAACCAGAACACTTGAAGGAGACCAACTCAGCTCAGATCTAACCCTCACAACTCAATGTTTTTCTCACTGTGGGCTCATTTTTCACTGCAATATAAGATTTCTGCACTTCTAAGGAAACAGAACAACCATGAAGAAGGAGAGAAAACAGGAAACATTTACTTAATGTCCAACGTTTTCCCCAAGTTTCACAGGTGTTACCAACACTGGAGAAAATGGAGGCTCCACGTACTACAGCTATTTAAGTGTTTACATGTTTCCAGCCTCTACTAACTTTTTCACTCTCCTCTGCATATCAGCTGTATAAAGATGTTTCACCATGCTGAATGTTTCTCCCAACAACTTCAGAATCAGAACCTTTAATGTCATTATACAAAAAGCACAACGAAATCGAGTGCAATCCTGTTTCGTGCAAAATTTCAATTTTAAACTAACAAACCTACGTGCAAAATGTAAAAACAGAGATGTATGAAGGATAAGATAAAGTGACTGCTAAACCTGCTCCTCTGTATATTGCTTTTTAACCATGCTGTACTTATTTTTTGATCCAGTATGTTTTAATTTCCTCTCACGATCATTTTGGACAAGTTTGAATCATCTTAGAAATATTTTTGAGTAATTTAGGTTACTTGTTTCAAACATTTTGAACAAATGGACAAATGTTTAATAGTTTTTTGTTACTTTGGACAAATGTCGAGTGATTTTGTTTTTTAAAGTGATTGTTTGAAATGTTTAAGTCATTTGGAACAAGTTTTGATTGAGTCTAAACAGCAATATTTTCATGTTTCCAGCCTCTAAAGACTTTTCTATCTACTCTTCTCATCAGCTGTAGAAAGATGTTCCACCATCAGCTGAATGTGTCTCCAACAACCAGCTCCTCTGTTCACTGGTTCTGAGCCATGCTGCATTTATTTATTGACCCAGTAGGTTGGATTTTCCTCTCAGTCTCTCTTGTCGTCTCCTCTCTCCTCTGTGGAAACACTGCCTGCAGTTCAACCTGAAAACTCAGAATTTTTCACTGTTGGTCTCAACTAAGTCAGTCATGGAGAATCAATGGTGCTGAGGAGGGAAGATGTTTTTGTTTTTTACAGCATCTGGTGAGAGAAAAAACACTATTTTTAGAGAATCTTGAGATGTTCAAGGACCCTCTGAAAGCTGAAAATTTGATTCTTGCTGTCTTTCCAGTTTGTGGCTGATAAATGGTGCCACTTCTCAAGTGTGTCAGTGGCAGGAACGCACAGCAGGGGGCGCTGCAGCTATCACACAGATTTTCTGTTTTATCCATCCATCCATCCATCCACCACCCCGTGACCCGACCCCGGATTTTCTGTTTTATAGATGAACTATTTCTATGAACAAACAAAAACTGATCAGCAGGTTAATCAGTGAAGGAGAATCAGCGATTAACTCGCTGTATTATTTCTTCCATCTTCTTACAGTTAAATTAGTGTGATTCTTTTTTTTTACTGTCAGTTTAATTTATAAACTATATGAAGTATTTACTGCACATGGAGACACAAACAGACCACAGAAACACAAAATGACCACACAAACATAAAATGGCACAAGGACACATACAATGACTCAAAGAGACACAAAACAACACAAAACGGTACAAAAGAACCACAAAGACACACAAAATGACTACAAGAAGAGACACAAAACGACCACAGAGTGACACAAAATGACACTAAATCCCATAAAACAACCACAAAGAGACACAAAATGGCCCAAAAAAAATCACAAAATGACCACAAAGTGACACAAAAGACCAGAACAGAACCACAGACACAAAACAGCAAAAAGTGACCACAAAGAGACACAAAGAGACACAAAATGACCACAAAGAGACACAAAGAGACACAAAATGACCACAAAAAGACGTAAAATGGCCGCGTCCACGAGGACCCAGGCGGGGCGGCTGGAGGGATGACTGACGACGAGAGCGGCTGAAACCTGCTGAGAATGTGAGAAATAAAGTGACGCTGCACCTTAAAGCCAATAAAGACACTTTAATGACACAATGCTGAGGCAGTAAAGACACAGTGAACTAAAAGCATCACACATCCTCCTTCATCATCAGCACCATGACACACAGACGAGGACAGACAGACAGACTGAGCGTCCTGCAGGACGTCCTCAGGTCACTTCAGAGATAATATTGATCCATCAGTCAGGTTATAGATTGTATAATGCTGTTTAAATACTGATTATTATTACACGCTGAGTAATTCAGAAGCTGTTTAATACACTTTAAAGGAGCAGTCCGTCACTTCAGGAAATCCTCCGAGTTTCTGCTGCACGCACACGTTAGCAGCTGTTGGCGTGTTAGCAGCCGTCTGCCGACTTCACATCTGATTCACAGGATTTCACGTGTTTACTGACGTGACTGACAGACATCACGTGTCCTGGTGTGAAATGTTCACTGCCTGAGTTTAACCTAAAGACAGACACGGTAGCGACGTTTGATGTCCACACCCTTCGACGCTGTGCTAAGCTAGGCTAACAGTTTCTCTCTGCTTCCAGTCATTGTGCTAAGCTAGGCTAATCACATCACTGACTGGCTGTGATTATACTGAAATCCCTTTTTAATCTGACTGTGGAGCAGAGAACGTGTCGGCTATTACATTTAAACCAATCGGTGCTCATCGGTGACCTTCTCGGAATCAGCTGTTTTTATGTCCTATAACTTATATAGATTTATGTACCTTCATGCCGGGGAAACGTTTAGAGTTACAGGCCCTTAAACTACACAGAGGTGGGTCCAGATTTTTAATTTACTTTTCCCGTAAGTATGGCGCCTCATAACTTCACCAGTACAGCAGGTACGTGACATTTCCAGGGCTGAGAAACACATTTGAGCTCCATTAAAACCTGCAACCAAATCAATTTTACATCGATCCAGGTGTCACAATCTGATGACTAATACTGTTCTTTTTTTTTCATTTTCTCTAAAACCAGATTTGAGCAGCAATATTATGGGCTGTATCGTGGTGTGAACAGTAAAACTGGAGCAGTTTAATGTCTGTGATGTAGAGTCACAGAAACAATCACTGGTACCCTGGATGTGTTTCTGTTTTCTGATCATTCACCAGAGACAACTTTACAAAGTGCATTCTGGGTAAACTTTCGAGGCTCATATCAGCATGTGTGATGGTGGTTGGTCAGAACAAGTTATAGACAATAAAAGGTCTAATTTTTACCCACATTTGAAACCAGGATCAGACAGGATTATTCCTTCTGTGTCAATACAACTTTCTAATACAGTCACACTTCCACACTGGTGAATGTAGCATCAGGCTGTGAAATGGAGGAAAAAACATTGATGTTTGCATGTTTTACAGAACGGTTGGGATAAATCACGTTGATCAAAGCAGTTTACAGCATTCAGAGCTTGTCTGAGAGTCTTTCAGATTCTCCTTTGATAGCGTTCAGTTCTTGTTGATCAGCTGGTTTTCTTTCTGTTCTCAGATCGTGAACAGTGATGCTTTGTAATTCTGGTTCCAACACTTGTCTTTTCTGTGGGGCAAGAAAATAATGCTGCAGGAATTATCAGAGTTTTAATCCCTTTAGGAAGTAGAACCTCAAATTTTACATCTAAAAAAAAATGCTGGGAAATAAATAACATAATTCAGGTCAGTAACATGAATATTTATGCTCAACGTTCGCTGAACAAAAACAGACTTGACTATCTTTAGATTGTGACACCTGGAGTGGATGTAAAATTGATTTGGTTGCAGTTTTTAACGGAGCTGAAATGTGTTTTCCAGCTCTAAAAATTGTACGTGTCCATCTGCTGGTCTTAACGGGGTATTAGAGCTAAGAAATGGAGGTTTAGCGTTTGGACCCTCCTCTATGGACTTCAAGGACCTGCAACTCTGACAATATTCACAGTATGAAGGTGAACCTTTGCATGGTTTCATTAAATATACTAAAGTTATTGTCAATAAAAAATCAGCTGATTTTGAGAGGGTCAGGGAGAAATTTTTTCAGATTTGGTTAATTTCAAATGGAATAAAGCAGAAGGGCTCACTGAGGAACCCAACATGACAGAGCAAAGACAGCAGGAGGTTCACTGAAATGTTGGACTGATCCTCTGAATCTAACGTCTCTTCTTCTACAGAGAAACTTCATTTTTTGCTACAGGGGAGATAACACTGTTACAGTTCACAGGATCCAAGTCCAGGACCTCCTCTGGTTCTGGTTCCAGTCTGATGAGAAAGACGAAGAACCAGCTCATTGAGTATTTACAGACAAGGAGTTCCGATGCAGTACAGGAACCTGTTCGTGATGTAATCCTCAGCCGGCCAATCAGGAGGCCCAGAGTTATGACAGACAGGACATCAGAAAACACAGATTCAGCGTTCAGGTTCTCTGGGTCTGCCCTGGTTCTGGTCTGGCTGCTGTCAGCTCCATATCGGTTCAGGTCCAACAGTCTTGGGTGCAAATTGTTCAGCCTGTTTTCCATGAACATAAGAACCCTTTAAAAACGTCAAAAACCATTTCAAGACCCTTTGCAGAAAACTGAAGGATTTTTGAGAACCCAAAAGCTTTTTTAAGACCTCAGAAATGCTTCCCATGGAACCTTTTTAATGGGCTTAGAGACTTCATCAGGAACACAAAAACCCCTGTAAGACGTTCAGAACCTTTCCAGGAACCTTTCTAGGCACTCAGGAGGTTTTCCAAGAACATTTTTAGGAACTTGTTTTTGTTTTTTTTCTTTAAAACTCAAGAACATTTTTAAGACTTCAGAAATATTTCCAGAACCTTTTGAGCTCATCAACTTTTCCAGAAACCCAGGCACCTTTTGAGTAATGCAAGAACCTTTTAAACAAATCGGGAACTTTTTAAGAAACACTGTCCACAAACCCTATAGGATTTCTAGGGGCCATGCAACACTTCTAGGAGACCTCAGATACCTTTTCCAGACCACAGGAACCTTTTTAGGCACTCACAAACTTTTCAAGGAACCATTTCTGGATCTCAAAAACTTTTTCAGGAGCAAATCCACCACCAAAGAGCCCTTTAGGATCCAAAACATTTGAGGTAACCTTTTTAGCAGCACAGGAACACATCCAGAAAACCATTATGGAATTTAAAAATGTCCTCATAGACTGACAAACTGCAGTGGGAACCCAGGAAACTCTTCTCGGGTCTCTGGAACTATTAAAGGAACCTATTTATGATTCAGAAAATTTGGGGGAAGCCTTTTAGGAACCCAGGAACCTTGTTCGGAAGTTAGAACCTTAAGAAACTTAGGACGCCCTTAAGACTCTTGAATGAAACTCAACAAGTTTTCCCAAGTTGTTTTAGTTTGCCAGGAACCTTTGACAGAACCGTTTGAGGAAATCAGGAACTATTCAAGGAATCCAGGAACCGTTTTCCAGGAACACAAGAGCACTTTTAAGGATTTTAGAACTTTTCCAAAAGCTCTGGAACACAACAGTAACAGTACCTCCAGTTAGACCACAGGATCATAGTTCATGTTTTGGTTCTGGAGGTCAGTTCTCTGGGGTATTTGTTTTGAATGATCCAGCAACCAGCTCTGGTTCCTCCAGTTTTCGTCTACTGGAAGAAAAAAAAAACATGAGTGTAACCGGTCTAAACTGAGACCAGGTTCGAAACCAGGATTGGTTCAGTCTGAAGAAAGTCTGGTGGAATAGATGATGGTTAAGTGTCTGCCTGGATCGTCCCTATCAGACCCCCCAGCAGAAAACAGAGACTCCCTGCATCCATAGAAGGCCATCTGTCCATCAGCAGGTGGACTGGTGTTGGTGCTGGGGGGTCGTAACCATGGCGACAGGCCTCAGGACTTATTGTCGTCGTAGAGGTCGAGCGAAGCCTGGATGTCCGGCAGCTCCATCTCACAGACGACGCTGCGAGGAGACATTGAGTTTCTGTTGAAGAAGTGACCGCCGCCTAGCGAGACGGAAAAACACCAAAGCACAAAGACGAGATTTAACACAACAGTCCAAAGACACCGTTTCACACAGTCAGAATCAGTACCAGGACCAGGACCAGGGTCACTACCAGAGTCAGCATCAGTATCAAGGTTAGTACCAGGATCAGGGTCAGTACCAGAGTCAAGGTTAGTACCAGGATCAGGGTCAGTAACAAGACCACGGTCAGGGTCAGTATCAGGATCAAGATCGGAAACAATAGGGTCAGTATCACAGTGAGTGTCGGGGTCAGTACCAGGATCAAGGTCACTGTAAAGTTGCCCTACATCTGTGAAAAGTTGCTCTACATTCGTGTGGAATTGTTGTACAT